ATAAAAAGACATCATACCAACAGTCAAACATAGTGGTGGTAGTGTAATGGTCTGGGGCTGCTTTGCCTTGGATGACTTGCCATAGTTGGTGGAACCATGAATTCTGCACTCTATCAGAAAATCCTGAAGGAGAATGTCTGGCCATCAGTGCGTGACCTCAAGCTCAAGCACACTTGGGTTATGCAGCAGCACAATGATCCCAAACACACCAGCAAGTCCACCTCTGAATGGCTCAAGAAAAACTAAATTAAGGTTTTGGAGTGGCCAAGTCAAAGTCCGGACTTAAATCCGATTGAGATGCTGTGGCATGACCTTAAAGAGTCCATGCGTGTTCAAAAACCCTCCAATGTGGCTGAATTAAAACAATTCTGTAAAGAAGAGTGGGCCAAAATTCCTCCCCAGCGATGTGAAAGACTCATTCCTAGTTATCACAAATGCTTGATTGCAGTTGTTGCTGCAAAGGGTGGCACAACCAGTTATTAGATTTAGGGGGCAATTACTTTTTCACGTACTGCCAGGCAGGTTTGGACAGCTTTTTTCCCTTAATAAATGAAAGCATTATTTCAAAACTTTTAGCATTTTGTATTTACTCGAGTTATCTTTGTGTAATATTAAAATTTGTTTGATGATCTTAATTATTCAAGTGTGACAAATATGCAAAAAAATAAAAAACAGAAAGGGGGCAAAAACATTTTCACAGCACTGTATATAAATAAATAAATATATACAGGTGCATCTCAATAAATTAGAATATATATATATATATATATATATATATATATATATAATTAGAAATGTTTCTTGAGCACCAAATCAACCAAATTAGAATGATTTCTAAAGGGTCATGGGACACTGAAGACTGGCGTAATGATGCTGAAAATTCAGTCTTGCCATCACAGGAGTAAAATGCATTCTAAAATATATTTAAATAAAAAACAGTTATTTTAAATTGTAATAAAAAATTCTTGATATTACTGTTTTTACTGTATTTCTATCCATACCTTTGAACAGCAGTGTACATTATGGTATTTATGAAGGTCATGTTCATGATAATTATATTGAAGTGGCCTTGTATTCCTATCTGCTTCCAGTGCTTTTTTGGAAGTCAGAAGCAGATATCAGCAAAAACACATCTTCATTCAGTCAAATATGGATATTATGTTTTCCAATTATTCTGATTTTGATTGACTTGATATGGAGCTGTGGATCTTATTTATTTATGTACTTATTTGTTTGTTTGTTTACATATATTTATTTATGTTTTTTATATCATGTACCTGTATTTTGGGATGAAATTCAGATGGGCAGAGCAGCTGTGGAGCTTTGCGATCTGCCTCAAATGCACCCAGAGATGTTTTTGTATAAGTATAGCACTATAAGTACAGCAAATTACTGTGTACTGAAAGTATATCCACAAGTACACATATATTTATGTACATTCATGGAGTGGAGTGCATGCCAGATTCTGAAAGAATGTGAAACAGGCCATTGTGTGTATGTGATTTCAAAATTACAGCACTACATCTCTGATTACCTCCTTGTATAGCAGAGATCACAGACTGTGTATCCTTAAGATCCTCAAGTCTATTTTGAGTTTTACTACTCCTTCTCTCTCAGCAGTGTAGTGAGTCTGTGCCATTGGCATTGTTCCTGAGTCATGCCCATCACCTTCTCTAGCTGCTCTCTCAAGTGCCAGATGTGCTGTCCTGGAGACCTGCCAACCCCATTGTGTTGGCACAGCAGGATCTGATGGGAAACTTTGCGTGTGACCATACTCATTCTCAAAGGTAAATTGGACAGTGCACAATTTCCTTATGTACAGCAGTTTATCCACCTGCAACAACAAAAAAAGGTAAATTTACTAAACAGTTGCACCACCTTATCACACAGTAATTCAAAAACTTGCATTTAAATCACAAACCACCCACAATACAGGTTAATCCGGCACTACATGTGCTGAATGGTCCTTTCTATTTAAGTTATAGGCTTACATTCTAATAATATAATTAATGCTTTACTAAAACTTATTTTGAGAAAATGTCCTCTAAAGCTTTTAAACAATTTCCACATATTTCTGACAGAATTGCATTCAATCAAACACACATTAAATAATTTAAGGGGAAAAAAGCCAAATGTTACCTAATTAGATAATGCTGTGTTCAAAAATATTAATTAAATCATTAATCATGCAAATATCAGTTTACATTTCCAAGACAGACTGGAGGATGATGAGATCAGATCTTTGTGGAGCACTGGCTGTTGTCAATTGTGCAAACAAAAATCTAACTGGATTATTACAATTAATACCAAAATGAATGTTTGGAAATGTAAACTGATATTTCCTACTGACACACTACAGCAAAAGATAGAAATAACTGACTTTAAACCAATTTTTTAGCTGGTGAAAATACTAGTGTTCTAATCATTTTGGCCACCACTGTATGTTTCAGCTTTAATAAATGTATCAAAATAACAAAAGTAATTAAATGTCAACAGTTTAATTGACAAAAGGTATTCAAAATGTACAATTTAACTCACACTCTGCAAATGAGTGGGGAAATAAGTTCAAATACTCCATTTAATGTCAAAAAACTTTACATAAACACAAATTTATAAATGAGTCTGGAATTTTCTGTTGCTGTTTGGATGTAGTAAAACACCCACAGACGTAGAAGAAAACATCTGGGTCATGTCGGCTGAGAATTGAACAAATAACCTGGCTCGGAGGAAGATAGGAATCATGTCTTTGTGGCAGTTTTTCTGGTGATTAAGGGATCATACAAGACTTCTTATCCTTAAAAATTGCTGTCGAAAGCAAAAATGCTGTGTGGGAAATGATTATTTGCTATAGAGCATAACAGGCACTGTTTTTGGAATCAGCACTCCAAAATTGGTAAGCAACAAGCAGGCCTGTTGGATTTCATTCTGGATTTCATTTCATGTAAGTAGGCAAAATATAATAATATTAATCATTATAATAACATTGTTTATCATAAACAGTGATTCAACTGTGAAAAGACATTAAATTTACTTCAATCTTTCAATGTCCATAGTGTGTGTGTGTGTGTGTGTGTGTGTGTGTGTGTGTGTGTGTGTGTACATATAGGCTATTTTGTAGCCTACAGTTATTTTTTCTAAATAACAAAATATGGACATTGAAAGACTGTAAATGCAGAAGTAAATGTAATGTCTTTTCGTGATTGAATTGCTGATTGGGCAATTACATGAGAGATAATAAATTTCCGTGAGTTAAAGCATATCTTTTAACATACCTTCTGATGTTAATTTATTTGTTAATTTATGTTGCCAATTGACCCTTCGCAAAGACAAGCCATAGCACTCTCGTTCAGTGAAAAATACATCGCGGAGCAAAGAGGACAATGAAAATGTGCTGAAAGACAAGACAGAGCAGGTTACTTTTAGTATGAAACAAAGTCTCATCTTTCAAATTCTGTCATTTTTTTAAGAAATTCAAACAATAAATACTGTTTTGTGGCTCTTTAATGTGTCGTGACAGGTCGCTGTTGTGCTTCAGTTTAAGCAGCGCGTGAACCAATCATCTCTTCCTCTTTACTAGTTATAGCATTAAATAAACATTAATGAACATCAGAAGGTATATTGTTTCAACCACGGAAAGATGTCAATGCACAACATTTTTCAAGATCAAGTCCACCTGCGTTAATCTACTCTCCAGTCTGGTTTGTTTGCAGGACAAAATGTCGGATTTACCATTATGATAGGTCAGATCACCCGTCAATTCCAGCGATGTTTCACACTAGATTTAAAAGCATCAAAACAACATTTATGTTTGAATTTTTTAATAAAATGTACATAAATAATTTTAAAGCTTTCATCAAAATTAACAATCAAAATTCAGTTTTCGATAAAAGTCGCATTACTCAAAATGAATGCGTCACGCTTTTTCGCCATTGCCTGATTTGCATAATTCCTCAGTGACTCGGTTGCTGAAACAGCAAATAGCAAGTGCAAATAAACTGGGCTATCAGCGGGCACAAATCGTTATTAGTAAATTCCTACATTTCACAGTCCAGGTGGCACACATTCATAGTCATGGACACAAATTCAAAAACAAATCATCTCATGCACTGGAGGACACATGCAATTCCATTACATGCAGATATACTGGCAAAGGACGTGCACAAGTGAACACACAGTCTCCATCCCTTCCTCTCTGTCACACTCACGCACACACACTCATCCTCTGATGAGTTCAATCCTTTGCTGTTACAGTCCCTGAGGAGGAAAGTGGAAGTGTGTGTCCTAAATGATTGGCCTATTTGTGCAGAAAAACACATTCTTTCATTTGCCTAACTCTTTCACGGTGCTTTGTTGTTGTGTCAGCTTTAATTTGGATCTGTAAACAGGTTAACGCTGTCTCTCTGCTTCTTTCTCTGGCCATTGACTAAGTAGCCACACCGCCTAATTAAGTCTTAAATGGTCAACCCTATACTTTCTCCATTTTATGAACTGTAATTAACCTTTAACATTCAAGCACTCTGTCTTTCATCTGCTCATGCTCATTGGGGAATCTGCTGAATGACTGTGATGTTTATTGTTCTGAAATCAAAGGAAACTGCTCAACAGCTCAGAATGAACTAGACATAAAAGTGACTATGTATAGAATTTATATTTTAATGTAATGTTTCTTATTTTAAGATTTTTAGTAGCTTGGTTTAATATCTGTAATTTATGTTCGGTTAAAGGAATAGTTCATCCAAAAAAATACAATTCGTTGTCGTTATTTACTTATCCTTATGTCTTTCCAAACCTATGTCATTTTTTTTTCACAGAATGCAAAATTATCCTTCTTTAATGAACTTCTCATTACAACAACACAACATCTTCTCAATACAAGTGACTGCAACTGTTAAGTTGCAAAAGAACACCAAAAGTACCATCAAAGTGGTTCTTGTGCACTTATATTCCAAGTCTGAGGTCAAATATATATTGGTTTGTGTACAAAATAAACATGAAGTGAAGTGTGCTTTCCGGTCTTCCAAAATAAACATAGATTTTTTTTGAGAAACATTTATTAAACAATAAAAGTGACGTGTGGCCAAGTATAGTGTCCCATTCTCGGAATTTGTGCTCTGCATTTAACCCATCCAAGTGCACACACACAGCAGTGAACACACACCTGGAGCAGTGGGCAGCCAATGCTGCGGCGCCTGGGGAGCAGTTGGGGGTTCGGTGCCTTGCTCAAGGGTCTCATCTCAGTCGTGGTATTGAGGGTGGAAGAGAGCGCTAGTGATTCATTCCCCCCACAGACAATCCCTGCCGGACCTGAGACTCGAACCTGCAACCTTTGGGTTTCAAGTCCAACTCTCTATCCATTAGGCCACGACTGCCCCCTTGTAAGTAGTCTAAGTGGGTCCTCTGGATGCAGTGCGGGCCACCTTTGCCAGCACATAAATCACATATTTCATTAGTGGCTACAGTGGGGAAAAAATACACTTTTTACACACAAGTACATCCAGATGTATAGGATGAGTTGGCAGGCATACGGCTTCAGTCGTTGTGTGTATTTTGGTTCTTTTATCCAGCTTTTAGAAGACAGCGACAGCTTGATGTAGAACCTGTTTTTTTTATGCATGACCACACTTTCATTAACGACTTCTGTCAGAAATGGTTTGGGCGAATGTCATCTGCACCAGAACGGGATGGAGTGTGTCTTTCTCAGGTTGCCAGATTGACGGACAGACTTTTTGGCACTTGCTAGTAAAATTAGCATAGGTTGTGTATCTGTGTAGTACGAAAACAGTGGGCGTGTAAAACAGAGAATGAGAAATAGAGGATGAAAGCTGCCATTACTACTAAACTTTAATGCATTCAAGTCAATGCTGGCATTCAAGTGGGCTTCACTAGACAAGTATGTGTACATATAAGATGAGTACAAATATTTTCACGTAAAAATCATGATTAATCAATAAATGAATTTTGTTTTTACAATAAAGATTAGAAACATTTAGAAATATTTAGTTTTACTTGGAAATACATCATATTATGGAAGCAATTCCATAATGCGTAAGTACACACACACTTACTTATGCTTCCATAATATGATGTACTTTAGTAAAACAGAACATTCAAAGAGAAAAGGACTATATTACCTGACTAAAACGATCTGTTAGCATTCCCAGTGGCACTTGGCTGCTGGATGACCCTTTAAAGTAAATAGTAGGCCTACATTCATGTTGACTTTAAAGTGACAATAATTCCCTGTTCAATTACCCAATTTGTTGAAAACTCTTTGCCCCATATATAATTTCCCTCTGAATAATCAGTCTTTGCGTTTGTTTAAGAACTAAACAAAGTACCGGAGATAAAAATACGGGATAAAAAAGCACAGCCACAATTCATCTCTCTTCGAATATAATATGCATAATAGGATGAGAAAAAGAGAACTACAGAGTAAAAGAAATAACGTATGCAATGTCACGTGATTAGCAGCACTTGCTTTACTGTTTGCTATGATTATATCTCAAATAGTTGCTGTAAGAACTTCATTTTCCATCTCCAGAAGCGCATTAAAGTAAATATTACCAGATCCCCTGCGATTTTCGTGTTTGGGTTTGCATATCAAACAGAAGCAAAGTATCCACCTCTATATTAGGCCTTTGCACAGTGCAGTAAGTGAATTGGCTAGCAGGAAATGGCAGGTGACATTTGGAGAACTGCCCAGAATGTTAAAATATTTCACACTTTCAGCTCAGCCACTGAACTATTAACTGGACTTTGAAGCAAGAAAAAAGGTTTTCTTAAAGGAAGAGCTAATGTTCTATCGCTGTTCACCTTTGGTTAATAGGTCTGTGCCTGAGTTTAAGCACCATCACTAAAAGCAAAGGTCACTGTTCTCATGATTCAAGTGAAAGGAAAGATAGATTTAACCTGGCAGAGAGCTGATTTCTTTTATCAGAGTTAACATCCTCTGTCTCTTTTATAGCAATAGCTCACCCAAAAATGAAAATTCTGTCATCATTTTGTCACCCTCGTGTAATTCAAAACATGAAATACAGAACTTTTTTCTGTGGAACTCAACATTTTTATTAATGTACCATATGCCTTTTGCGGAGCCTCTTAAAGAAGAAGTTACAGGTCTGTGAGAGCCAGAAATCTTGCTTGTTTGTAGGTGACCAAATACTTGTTTTACAGAGGAATTTACCAATTAATTCTTTAAAAATCCTACAATGTGATTTTCTGGAATTTTTTTTCTCATTTTGTCTCTAATAGTTGAGGTATACCTATGATGAAAATTACAGGCCTCTCTCATCTTTTTAAGTGGGAGAACTTGCACAATTGGTGGCTGATTAAATACTTTTTTGGCCCACTGTATAGTGAAACTTGCTTTCTAAATATCCTTCTCTCTTCAGCTGTTCTAAAATTTAAAAAAAAAATGGCAGGATTTTGTGACATTCACACAATGTGTTTTTGCGTTTAAAACAAGGCACAGGGCAGTGGATTGTGGAGAAAAAATGCAAGACATATTTTTTAAAAATTGAATTTGAGCACTGAATGCCGTGTCATGTGCTGCAAAAGACGAGAGATGCAACCATAACCGTCAAACATGTTTGTATAGAGCATGTTTACATAGAAAAACAATAAGAAAACAGCTTTTTTTAAGGTGGCATATTTAAATATATGTGGAGAGCAGGATTTTGTGTGAATTTTGCTTTGTTTCTCAAAGAATTTTTATGACAATTTTATGGTGCCTTTTTTGTTTTGTTTTTGTTTCCTTTTACTTTACATGATTGGTAGGATTTTTCTTTTTAGCCCACATAAAAAAGAAGCACAGATTTGGAATAATGAGGTATAGGTAAATGATTTACAGAATTTTTATATTTATTTTATTTTTATTCTATTTAACTTTTAAATGGTTAAATAGGATAAAAATAGTTAAATATTTTATTCTAATTACCTTTTCTAAATAATGTTTTTTTTTCACTTCAAAGAAATATCTAGCCCAAATGGCAAATCAGATATGTTAAGTGCTAAGCCAATAAGAAGTATGTTCATCTACAGATCTTAAACACAGCAATCACAAAAGTGCTGCCTCTGCATTCCCATATTAAATGTTCTGGAGTGGGATTTGTGAGCTAGCTTTGACTGGCTGTCACCTGCGATGGCCAGCAGAAGTGGGCTCCTTTGTAGTTAGGCTGTTATGATGCCTGTTCCAGAGCATCTGCGGTTTCTGGGCAAATATCTAAGAGGGCTACTGTGAGCTATTCTCCTTCATTTCCGTCCATTATTTATATGACAGGATTTCATTCGCTGCCAAGGAGCACAGTCGCCGTACCTTGAAGCCCCGTTGGGATTCCCGGTGTTAGGCAAGAGCAAGGACAGCTAGTCAGTCGGTTTCCCCCCTGAGGCTCCGAACCTCCAAACGAACTGCTTCCTCTTCCAGCTGGGAGGAAAAACGAATGGTGATGGAAGGCCTTGAACAGTCCTTGTCTTTCCTGGCTGGCGTTGCCTCAACAGTTCAATGATTTTTGTTTCTCAAAACTCATTGTTCGGGAACCGACGTGTTAAAAGGTATGGCTATAAATATATATCGGAGTTAAAATCATTCCGGAAAGGTCACAAATTGATAATTGAGACTCATTCTGTGGAGCCTAAAGGCCTGATTTGTCCTATTTCTTTTACTCATCTTCCAGACGCTACTGGTACCAGGACCTCCATTTCGTAGAAAGAGGTTATCGAACATGGCTGGCCCTCTCCTCAACCATGAGGGAATACGGAGAGGAGGGTGTTTCCATTGCTATGTAGGTCTAGGTGATTAAAATGAAGTGTTATACCCACAATACGTCTTAATTGAAGCTCCGCCAAGGACTTCTTTCCCTTTCCCTACTAAGATCTCCATTTTAAATCACTCCCTAGTTCCCGTTCTCTCCCTCACCTTTGACAGAAGAACTGAAGTTCTCACACCTGCATTTGCCATCATCATTTGCACAAATGGCATAGAGACAGAGTGAAAATGAATGGATACTAGGGGCATATCCTTCTCTCACCCTCCTTCTCTCTCACACCTTCTGCTCTGATATCCTCCGCATGCGGGAAATGCCAGGGAGCATCTCGTGGGCTTTCTGTATCTAACCCAAATCCTTCACTTTGCTTGAGAAATGGCTGGCTGAGCCTGGCCCAAGAGACCGGTCTGCCCTGCGCCAGCATCGGTTTACTTATTAAATATAAGATCTCTCCGCTCTCTCCCTTTATTTTTTCTCTCTATCCATCTTTCTCTTCATCCCTCACTATCTTCTCCGTCTCAGAGGCTGCACCCGAGCTCCCCAGGAGTTTAGGCCCAGCATTTGTTTGAAGAGCAGTAGAGAGAAGCGGCATTCTGGGAGCTTACAGCAAAGGGGGGTGGAAGCTGGTCGCCCAGGCTGGATGGATGTTCTGTCAGCCTGCTTCTGTGATGTGCCGCCCTATCTGAAAGGCCCTGATGGCGAGATAGGAAGACTATCAACCAGCTAGCTTCAAAGTCCAACGAGCCAGTCTGATCCTCAAGGGGGGCAGACAGAGCGGGGGGAAGAGTGTAGAGGAGACATGGGATGAACAAATGTGAGGAAATGAATAGGACAGAAGGACGTAAGTGATGTGACAAATGGTAATGGCGAAAATAAATTTCACTCTTGAATTTGAATTAAGGATGCTGAATTACAATTCACGTTTGAATCATATAACCTTAATAAATGTAAAGTTTTATAGGCCTTACAGACAGATAGATCTGTTTGTAATGTCACTTATAAAAATATATTTCATTTCTATACACTTCTTTATATTTAATAACTTTTTATGGACCAAGGTGGAAGGACACCTAATTTCTCAAAATGTAAATTCCACTTAAATTCCAATTCAAATACCAATTAAGTGGGAAACAGATTATTTTTCTTTTCTGTTTTTCAAAATCAAAATCATATATGGCATGACCAATTCAAATTTAAAATGAATTACTGAATTCTTCAATTTTAAGGCCAATTCACACCACACTGGCAGACGGTGACAAACGGCAACAGACAGAATTGTCAGGTTTTGTCGGATTAGTGTGTTACCCCTGACGGTGTCTGTTGGCATTGGTTGGTGCTTGTTTTTGCTCAATGAACATGTTGAATCAGAGTTTGTCATCTTGGAACATCTGAGAAGTGACGTGCTGTACTCTGTCATTGTTCTGCATCTGTCGTTACAGTGTGAATTTTCCTTTAAAAGACTGGCTCATTCACAAACTGACAAAACCCACACTACCCACCTGTGGAACCCCATCATTTCTGCAGACAGAAAGATTCCATCACATTAACAACGAAAAATGACAGGAAGAGAAAGTTGCACATCCTTCCACTCATCCCACCCCCTCTACAGAGGTTAAAGTTCACAGCAGTGACAAGTGCATTGAGGCATCAACTTCTCCTCGGATCTCTATCGCCATCATGTCTCTTTTCCATTTTTTCCTCCCTGGCACTTGGATGCTTTTCCATCCCCATAGAAAGACGTCAGGTGCTCAGTCAATTAGGCACAGATGGCGAGATTACAGCGAGAGAGAGTAGGGTGAGAGGGGCCTGTGTTAAATGCTGAGGAACACACACACCAGACAGGAGAAACAGCACTGCAGGGACAATCCAACATGAGAGAGATAGAGAAAGAGAGGGAGAGAGAGAGAGAAAGAGAGGGAGATGCCAGGTCACAAAGGCTATGTGAGAAGAAAAAAAAGAGAGAAGTGCCCCATTGAATATTGAGAAGGGCTGCTATTCCCTGCTTTTCCGGAGGCATGGCCTTGTTGTACCGCTGCAGATGTAGATCCACTAAATGGATTGTTGTGTGATAAGAGACAGTGATCCAGGAATAGAACACAGGCTGTAAAACATTTCATCACACAGAAAATGTGTTTCTTCAGATCTCCTGTATGTACAGATCAGAGATTGGCAGATATTATACAGGAATGTATAACATGCTGTTGATTGCCACAGACAGTAATCAAAACATCAGTCTATAAAATGAAGCAAATATCAGGTTTACTGTGTTGCACATGCAGTGCAAATGTATGGGAAAGGTATTCCAGAGAGTTTAAAAGCAAAAATGTGAAGCTTGTATTATCATCCCCTTTAAGGCTGAATTTTGCCATTTCTGTGGTACTAGTGTCACCAGACTGAATTAGAAAAACAACATTTAAAAATACAATCATAATTTATTTTAATAATGTAGTGATATTTTATTTGCCATCTCGTCTAAAAATGTGTGATATTTGAGCTGTAAATTTTTTATCTTTAATCCTACAGTAGTGTCTAACTTGCAACCATAATGACATATTTTTTAAAAAAGTAATTAAATTAATGTATTCTAATATTAAATTTTTTACCTTGTTTTATGAACTAGGATTAACTGTTCTTACAATTGTATAATATTTATATCTATATCGATATGTATGTACGCTTTTTTAAATAGCCTAAGTATTTGCAAGAAGTGCACACTTATGTGATATATATATATATCATCCAAAATTTGCCCCTGCAGTGATATTAGGAATAAACCTTCACCACAGCTCTGGAATTCCAGTGACTGTAGGATGTGACAGCCAGAGGAGTGGATTAAAAAAGGGAGAGAGAGCAGAGAGAGAGAAAACGATGTCCTAGATTAGGACAGTCGAGCATTTGGAGTGTCTGATTCATCGAGCTTGATCATGAAACAGATCACACTTTATTACATTAAAAAACCATTTAAATGCACATAAAAATAAATGACACTAAAAATGCATTCGAAAGTTGCCTGTGATGGATTTGAAGAAATATGATGACAGAATTTTCATTTTGTGGGTGATCTGTCCCTTTAACAGAAATTATGAAAATCACTCAGTTCCAAATATGATACAAATCAGTCTTTGATTCCCAACCCTACATGGGGGGAGAAATAACAGCATGTTAGGCGATTGGCATTATCAATGCTAATTGATAATCCTACAGTAGTGTCTAACTTGCAACCATAATGACATATTTTTTAAAAAAGTAATTAAATTAATGTATTCTAATATTAAATTTTTTACCTTGTTTTATGAACTAGGATTAACTGTTCTTACAATTGTATAATATTTATATCTATATCGATATGTATGTACGCTTTTTTAAATAGCCTAAGTATTTGCAAGAAGTGCACACTTATGTGATATATATATATATCATCCAAAATTTGCCCCTGCAGTGATATTAGGAATAAACCTTCACCACAGCTCTGGAATTCCAGTGACTGTAGGATGTGACAGCCAGAGGAGTGGATTAAAAAAGGGAGAGAGAGCAGAGAGAGAGAAAACGATGTCCTAGATTAGGACAGTCGAGCATTTGGAGTGTCTGATTCATCGAGCTTGAAGTGCAGCGAAGGTTAAGTGAGATTTAGAAGTGTGTGTGTGTGTGCGTGCGTGCGTGCGTGCGTGCGTGTGTGTGTGTGTGTTCATTCTTATAGGTGTGCACCGGGCCACCAGGACGCAATTAACCCAGCGAGAAATGCTGCAATTAACAGCAGTCCGAGTCTGCGCGCGCACACAAACGGCCGTGCATTTATACATGCTGGAATGCAGTAAATAAGCAGAGAGAGAGAAAAAAAATCAGTTTAAATGTGGTATTAGAGTGCATGCTCGCCGCCTGTCACGTTATTTAGAAAGCACGCAATGTTCTCGCGGTAACCAATCATTTAGCGCTCGACCTGAAACGCTTTCGCACACACACACACACGTGCTTACACGCAGCCAAACACCGGGCTGACAATACCTCATCTATGTTCACACAGACACGGAGCGGGAGTCGGGGGAGGCAGCGCAGCAGCGGAGAAAAGCAGAACTGACAGAATGAAGAGGCCCTAGCAGGAAAACATCAGTAGAGAAGTCATCCCAATGCACGGAAACAGAGCAGTTCCCATGGTGCACCACAGGCTGCCTATCTCTGGGGCTGGAGGCAGGTAATAGGAAGCTGTAATGATAAAGACGGGGAGAGAAGCCACAGGAGCATCTTCCATTCAGCCCTTTTCTCAGAGAGAGAGAGAGAGAGAGAGAGAGAGGGAGAGGGATGAGGGGTGGAGAAAAGACTTTCTATCAGAGGCAGACTTCCATTTGAAAGCTGCGAGTTAGGCAATCTGTGGTCTGGATGAAGTGAGAATGGTGAACATGAGAACCTAAAGAAGAGAGAAAAGTGGATGTGATTGCAATACAAACGTTGACTTAGAACTTGCAACGGGAATCAGAAGGTTATTTAACAATTATCTGAAAACGTTCTGTTCTAATGGGAATTTATATTCCAGGTGCCTGCATTTTAATGCTTCTTTTAATTCAAAGTTCCCATAAATCACTGTTTTGAATGTGAATCTTTAACTACACTTTATATGAACAACCTGGCAGTCAGTTCACCCAAAAATGAAAATTTGAGTTTGTTTTTTCATCTGAACAGATTTGAAGTTGCTCACCAATGGATCATATGCAGTGAATGAGTGCCGTCAGAATGAGAGTTCAAACAACACAATAATCCACAAGTAATCAACATGACTCCAGTCCATCAAGTGTGCTTGTAAGAAACAAATCCACCAATATATTTGTTTAGAGCTGTTTTGGACTGCTTTTGCACATAAATGGTGATGGATCTGTGCATATTTCTCTCCTGATTGAGACAAGCTGACTTTTGCAATGGAGGAAACAATATTAAAGGACTCATATTTTCAAACAAACAAACTGATCCACTGTACATCTTGGATAGCCTGAGTCACCCAGTAACTTGAGATTGTAATACGGATTTGAGTTATTTTGAATGATTCACTAAAAAGAACTGATTTGTATAAGTCATTTGATGGAGAAAGACTGACAACTTGTAACTTAATATGCATTTTCATGAAACAGATCACACTTTATTACATTAAAAAACCATTTAAATGCACATAAAAATAAATGACATTAAAAATGCATTCGAAAGTTGCCTGTGATGGATTTTAAGAAATTTGATGACAGAATTTTCATTTTGTGGGTGATCTGTCCCTTTAACAGAAATTATGAAAATCGCTCAGTTCCAAATATGATACAAATCAGTCTTTGATTCCCAACCCTGCATGGGGGGAGAAATAACAGCATGTTAGGCGATTGGCATTATCAATGAAGGCGTTTTCTCCAACATGCTGTAACTAACAATAGAACTATAAAATACACCAAAAACGCAACAATTACGAAATGAAACAATTTTATTAGTGCGCTGTAATCCAAATCTTCAGAATCCATATGACTGCGAGGAACAGACCCAAATCCAAGCCTTTATTCAGCGATCTTCTTCTCCATCCCAAGCAGCGAGTCCAGTGACCGTGAGCAGCAAAGCCCGCGCTGACTGAAGCGCTCTTTACAAATTCAAATATTGCCGCTTCAAACGACAGGTTTTACGGCAGGATTATCGAACGCTCATTGGCTCTCGCCTGCATTCGTCACAGATTGCGACATGCCGTGTTTCTGGTGAGGTGTGTTTGAATGATGTGCGCGCCTTCACGAGTTCACTGAGTGGATCGGGAAGATGATCTGGATAATATTTTTTTAGCGATTAACAACATAAATTCTGCTCTGGATCACACAAACCTACTGTATTCTGCCAGAGAGTACTGCGGGTGCAACGCATCATTATTTGGATTACATTTAGTACTGCTTTTGACATTTTTGCAATAAATAAATGATT